TTTGACTCTTCTAAGCTTACTACCACACTTAACTCCTCAGTTTATCACTATGTAATCTTACTTAAAAATTAAAATCATCTCGCCTCGATTAAATGCACTTACAAGTGTATCATATGGTACACTAAAGAATATTCCAAGTTAAAGAAGGAAAAAAGGACAAGTGACGCAAGAGACAACATAGAGAGAAATTTACTGCCCATATATTAAAACTCTTGACGCTATTACAATGCTCTCACTCTTACTTGGTAGCTCAATTAGTTGTGCTAAAGCTCTCTTAGCTTGTTCACATGAAAGGCCTCTTTTGCTATTTATACTCTCACTTCATTTGAAGAGCTGATGTTCATTGGCTCTAACCTTCCTCAGATATTTACGTGTTTATCTGGAACATTCTAAAATCGTAATATGTTCTACACTTTCTCTACATACAACATTCGAAAATCAAGTTTTTCCACAAGACTCCACGAATTTTATGGAATGTTCGAGATGACTCTTTTCATTTTTATCAATTGTACAATATGTCCTTTGCTAGCTAATTTTTCTTTCGGTTACGTCCCTCACACCTATCCTTCAATCCCTAGCCTTGGCGTTGTACCGCTTAGCCTTCTATCACTAGCTAGGGCTTTCTCATCGCCTCGTTTACGACCCCTCACCTCATGCAGCCGTTGGGCATGCCCGGGATGCAAGTTTTGGTTGCAAATTACTGTTTAATTATGTCACAAAGGGAGCTGATCATTAACACCTCAATTTATATCATTACTGATGGACATATTTTCATCACTACCAACACCTTATTTCCATGCCTACTAATTTGTAAAATGATCTCACCCAAAGAATCGTCGAGAACAAAAGATAGTTTGTGGGCATGATTTTCGTCTAATTTTGGCACCTTTCACTCATCAAAGTACAATTTTAAATATTTATTTTATGCTTTCTCATTTGTACCTTGATTAGTTTGAATTCTTACTCTAAAACAACATAATTAAGTAAAATGTGCATAAGAATGTATATAGTGTCTAGACCATCGATAAAAGAGCTAACACACAACAATTAAATTGTGAATAAACAAGAAACAATAATACCACCCAAATCAATGAATAAACGATAAAAGGAAAATCGAGTCATAAGAAAATGAGATGGGGGTGGTGGAAATGTGGTGCCAATGCATATTAAAATGAAGGTAACGGTGGTGGACATGGGGATGTCATGTTGAAGATTATACCGAAAGAGGGTTCCTATCTTTTTAGCGCATAATTTGACTCAAACGGACTCCATAGGGACTAATACTTCAAAGGCAAAATGTTGGGGACAAGTTCTCAATCTTGCATAAATTGGGGACCTTGATGCAATTTTCCCAAATTTAATTACTAGTTCTACCGGGTTGGGACCTAAGTTCTCTGAATTGCATAAATTGGGAACCTTGGTGGAATTTTACCCTAATTTTCCCTTATTAGTTCTATATTGAATTAGTCAATGATTCAATCAAATAAAATTATATTACTATGGTTCGAAGGAAAGTAACAATATCTACTGTTCACATCCCCACACTCCATTTCGGGGCAATGGGTCAAGCTCAAGCAGGCCGACTCGTTAAAAATAATAATAATAATAATAAATAAAGGCAAAAAGTTGCCTTTAAAAAAAATCCAAAAAAAAAAAAACTCGAGCCAATGCCCCAGCTAAAACTCGGGTCAAGCCCCAAGTTTTTGGGCAAGCTTTTGATCGGTTTGGCACAAAAAAAAGGCTGTTTTAATTTTACTCGAGCAGAGTCCTAAGTTTCGGTTCGCGAGCCTGTTCAACTTTAATCGTTGACATCCTCAGGTTATACAGCATACATAGAAAACTTATAAGGTAGTAGAAATAAAAGGTAGTAAATGGGTCAATTTGAATAAGAAATTGAATTGCTATTCATAGAATTTTATTCTTGTCAGACTTACCGGTTAGTAGAAATTATTGTAGAATGCCTTTTAGCAATTTCTGGCAATTGCTATCTTGTGATACTATGTAGTTCAATTTAAAAATAAATAATGATATTCGGCTTATGGATGCTTAGTACTGATATAGATATTCATTAATTGATTGAGCATTTTAAATATGACTCATATATCTTCATTAAAGATATCCAATTATTTAATGATATTTAACATACAACTAGACGAGTGCTCGGCACCAGTGAAATTGTCATATCATTACTCTTTAAAAACAAGGCGAGGTCATTTTTTTATCGATTCAATTAGCAAGTCATTAATTCAAAATAGCTCACAAAGTGAAGATTTAGTAGAAGGTTCACAAAATAAAAGAATTTTTGAGAGTTAGAATACAAAATTATTTAAAATTGAGAAACATGAACCACTTCAAATGTCATTTTACTTATGTGCAATTCAATATATCAAACATATTATAATTGTACAAATTATAATTTTCCCATGTTGTCAAAATGAAGCCGCAATGTCATAGGATTAAGATATAAGCGAAAATGATTTTTAATTTTTATCATAATTTCATCACACAATAAAATATAATATATTAGGATGACAAATTT